CGGGGAGGCGGGCGGCCCGGGGGAGGCCTGGAGGCGGGTTACCACCTCACGGGCTGCTGGTTTGCGCACTCCGCGCTAACGTCCCTGTTTCTTCTCGTGCTCGTGAGTATTGCATGAGAAGAGAGGGCGGACTTAAGTCGCAGGCTCGCAGGGACGCTCCGTGTGGCTTTCCATAGCTTCTCTCCCACAGTGTTTCCAAGGAGCGGCCCCGCAGCCTGTACCTGTGAGAACTGCTCGTCTCCATCAAGCGGCTTATTAGCACCTTGCGATGCTTTCCGTTTCTGCATTGCCTGGCACTGTCCTCCCGCTCAGGCACAGCCATAGCCGTGTCGGGGGCTGCCAAGGCTGCTGCGTGTTTGGATGTGCTCGCAGCCTACGGTAATGAGATAGGGGGATGACCTTGAGCTTGCACATGCTAGGAAGGATGACCTGAACTGTCCTGGAATATCCTCTGGTGACCTTTGAGACAGATGACGCGTCCTTACAGACCAGAAGTGGCGTTTAGAAACGGTGACATATCTCTGTGGTAGCTGGCACTTCTCTGGATGAAGGCCAAAAGCAACAAAGCTACTAAATACAGAGCGAGTGATAAGCAGCTCTGAATTAGGGAGATAGAATGACAGCAAGTGATTCTCATGGTGGGGTCCTTGCTAAAACTCAATTACACCCCTTTGAAACCATTAACTTTTTGTTGTTGTTGTTTATTAGTTGACTAGTTAATTTCTTTAAATATGTTTGGTTTCTCAAAGGTTTCTCAAGAAGGAAGCCTTTGAATAATTGATAACCATAAAATTATTTCAGGAATTTTTGAATAGAAAATATTTTATTTGTGAAAAGTACTAAGAAAACCAGGGTTATTTATCTTAAAGCAAATAGGAATAAAAGGGAGCAGTTAACTCTGTGTGAAACAAGCACCTGAAGAAGGTAGCTCAGTACTTTACAGCCCTTTGTTGGGATGGGTAAACTTAAAAACAAGAAGAAATTAATCAAAATGGGATGGTAGAAAATGCAGTATTACTAAAAATAATTAATAATTTCCATGCGCTATGGAGCGTAACTGAGTGTAACTTAGCAATATGCATTAATACTCTGTATATGTATATGAATAATAGGAGTATTTCCAGTTGCAATAAATGATGAAAATAGTTTTGGTAGAAATATTTAAATCTCAAAGCTCTATACAATCTTGTGTCTCGTTAAAGGCAGGCTAAGAGATAATATCAGGGATATTTGCCATCCCATCACCCGAGACATTCATTATAGTGCTTTCTGTGCTCCTGTGAATTTAGGACCTTGATATTAGGAATACTAACTATTATTTGGGGTTTTTTGGGTTTTTAAAATTAATTTTGTTTTAAAGATGGATGTCCTCTTGCAGGCCCTATCACTCCTTTGACGTTACTGATGTTTCAAAGAGATGGTCTGAAATTTTGTATGTAATACTTGGTTTTGCTATTTCTATGTAGCTGCTGTAATTACAAATCTTGTTATAAGCAGTGTTGAAGTTGCATGTCTCTTCCCTACTGGTAAAGAAAATATTTTTGAAAAGGATGAATGCTGTTAACAGTCAAGTAAACAGCAAATTGTTTTCTACCCAGTAATTTGGATCTGACATCCGTGCCAGATCAGATTTACTGTCTGTGATGGTACCTTTTATGTGTAAGGGAGAATCTGCTGCCTGATTTTGTCCTGCTATATGTGAAGGACCATGCTTAGTTTTTCATCCCTGTCTTTGTAATGCGAATATGGCTTGCTGGTGCACTGAGGGCTGTGGAGGAACTGCTAGAACTATCTAGTGGTAAAGCTTAAGAGAAATCTCAGAAGTGAAAGACAGAGTCACTCAGTGTCTAATGGGTGGTGGGAATATCTAGGAAGAGTTGTACAACTTATTAATGAGGGAAACTTAATTTGTAGTAAAAAATGTTGTGGAAGGATGACTATGATTAATTTTTAATGCAGGTTTCATGCTTCCTTCCAAAATACTGAAAAGAATCAAGCTTTTGTTGACTGTTGAGTTATTTGTGATTAATTATTTTAAACACAGCATGAGTTGAACAAAGAAGTTCTACGTAACTCAGTTCACTGACATTTAATTATTTGCATCTATCTGTATGTAATGTGAAACTTTTGAAAAAATCTGATGGAATACACTATCAGAGATGCTTTAAGGGGTTGGTGGGAACAAACGCTGAATTTGTTGAAAAATAAAGAGTTGGAAAAATAAAAATCATTGCCAGTCAGATATTATAGGCAAATGAGGGTCTCATGTGCTTTGCTGCTCAGTGTACATAAAACAAATTACACTTTGTCCCTTGTGTAGACCAAACTAGCTTCATTCACTGTTTCTGCAGCTCTGTCTCTCTAGTTTCACTTCCTATACTTTCCAAGACCTGATCAGTCCCAGTTCCTAATCAAACCCATGTTTAAAGCCTAAAAGATCTCCGTAATACATAAAAGAGTATCTGCACAGTCAGTTAGGAAAATTGTATCAGACTTCAGAATCCTGTAATGTTAATAGCGTACAGGATCTAAGGGATTGTAGTAAAAATTTATAATCTGAAAGAAGACTATGAATGGGACCATGTGTTTAGAAGGGTTTGGGGGGTTTTCTTCTTCTGGGTCTATCCCTGTCCAAAGACTAAAAAAACGGTTGATGATGACAGTAAATGCTTTCCAGCACATTCCCTTTTCTCACTTTACCTGTGTTGTTATCTCGTAGAAGTTCATATGTTGACAGCTTGGAGTGTGGTTTTGGCAATATTTTTTTTCACTGGCAAAACCTGTTAGGAGATGTCATTCCTTCATCTTAACATTCCTGCTATTGTTCATTGCCTCTGTAGTTGTACTTGGGGCTGCTTTGTGGTGACTGAAACAATTCCAGTTATTTGATTTACGGTGAGGCCTTATGAACAGTTGTGTCAGAACAACTTGAAAGGGCAGCAAATGAAGATGGAATTTTCGGAGCCAGTTGTTGTGAAAGTTTGCAGAGTTATGCCCGAGTTATTTCAAATTATTCTAACATTTAAGAGAGAAAAGGTTGGTGGCAAAAAAATAGTGTCTTTTATTAGTCATGCTGATATAGCTAGAAGAAAGGGATGAGCTGTCAGGCAGATAAGCTTCTGTACACTCTTCGGTAGGGTTTCACCGTTGTTTCTATGAGTAGATGTCAGTAAATAGCTACTGAGTTTTAATATGTGGCAGTAGTTCAAAATTTAAATATTCCTATTTAGCAACTGTTAGAGTCCTGTTGATGTGTTCAGCAAGTCCTGCCCATTTCTACATAAGGCTGTAGTTGAACCTGCTTGGCAAACTCAAGGACTCAGGATAGTTGCGTAGGAGATGCCATAGTGAATTTTAAAGCTGTTTTGTCTATTTTGGTTATCTTTTCAGTAAGTGGGAAGTTTTAAAAAACAATTCTATCGATTTTCAGTTGTAGTTTCTTTTTAGTTGGAATACATTATTGAATTATGTATTAGATACCTAAGCTCAGTTTATAATAGACTGATAGGCTTTTCTGCACAGACCAAACTGTACTTCAGGAATCTACATACAGTTTTAAAACACTATGAGCTAATTTTTCACATAAGTAACACTGTCCACAGAAGATTTGAAAGGGAACACTGGGGATGCGGTGGGCATCTGTTACCCTATGACTAAGAGGAGGTAGTGGATATCGCTTTCTACAGACAGCAAGCAGAAACCTCCCACTCATGCAACCTTGTGCTCATGGGGATTTTGACCATCCACATACTTGCTAGGAGGGCAATCTGGCATTGTGCATTTGCTTTTGGTAGTTTCTAGACTGTGTTGGTAAAAATTTTGTAACACACGTGCCAGAGAGCCTGGTAACTCTTCACTTCATCTGCTGCTCACAAGTCAGGAAAAACAGTGGCCAGTTTGGTTGTAGATGGCAGCCTGGATTGCAGTGATGCTAACATTATTGACTTGTGGTTCTGGAGGAAGGGGATTGGGGGGGGG